TCTTTTCTCTTATCTCTTATCTTTTCTCTTCTCTCTCCTTTTCTCTCTTCTCTCTTCACTTTTCTTCTCTCTTCTCTTCTCTCTTCTCTCCTCCCCTCTTTTCTTTTCTTTTCTTTTCTTTTATTTTATTTTATTTTATTTTCTTTTCTTTTCTTTTCTTCTCTTTGCCTACCCCACACGGAGACGTCGTTTTCATGTTGGCTCCAAAAGGAGACTCAAATTGTTTGTTGGGGGGGCGGCGTACATAGAACACCCGGGCTAGCTAGCTAGCTAGCTAACAGGATAGCTAGCTAGTTAGCTAGCTAGCTAGCTAGCCCGTCTAGCTAGCTAGTATGTTGGCAAGCTAGCCAACTAGATAGCCAGATATCCAACTAGCTAGCCAGCTAGCTAACTAGCTATCCAAATAGGTAACCAGCTAGCCAGCTAGCTAACCAGCTAGCCAGCTAGCTATCTAGATAGCCCGCTAGCTAACTAGATAGCCAGCTAGCTATCTAGATGGCCAGCTAGCTAACTAGCTAGCTAACTAGCTAACCAGCTAGCTATCTAGCTAGCCAGCTAGCTAGAGACTGCAGCGAGGCTGCTGCTTGCTAACAGTGTAGTGTGGTGCCCTGCAGCCAATAGATAGAAAAGAGAGACAAAGGAGACAGCAGAGACAAAGAAGAGAAAGAAGAGAGAGAATAGAGAAAGGAGACAATCTGTCTCCTCTTGTCTCTTTTTATACTCCCCCCTTTATCTGTCTCCTTCTCTCCCCACAAACACAAAAAAAAAACAAAAAAAAAAAAACAAAGACAAAGACAAAGACAAAGACACTAAACAAACAACCAAACCACGCGCTGTCTCTTCTCTCGTCTATAACATAAATACAAACCGCTCCTGTTCCTCCTGAACACAGTCGCTGCTGTTGCTGCTGCTGCTGCTGTTGCTGCTGCTGCTGCTGTTGCTGCTGCTGCTGCTGTTGCTGCTGCTGCTGCTGTTGCTGCTGCTGCTGCTGCTGCTGCAGTCTGTAGAAGGAATCTGCGGTGGGTAGGGGGACCCAGCAGAAGAGCAACAGCTAGCTGACGCTCACAACAGACAGCAGTGCTGCTGCTGCTGCTTCTGCTGCTGCTGCTTCTGCTGCTGCTGCTGTCATTGTTGCTTGCAAATAGAATCATAGCTGCCGCTGTTGCTGCTGCTGCTGCTGCTGTTGCTGCTGCTGCTGCTGCTGCTGCTGCTAAGCGCACCCAGTTGATATGGCGAGGCTGGGGGGTCTGGGGTGTATAGGCAGCTCTTGCTACAGCCAGCGGAGACAGGCGGAGGGGTCCCCCTGTGTCTCCTTTGTGTTTTCTCCCCAAACCCTAAACCCTAAACCCTTTTCTAGTCTCTGCGGTCTCGTATCTCAGCTAGCTAGCTTACTAGCTAGCTAGCTAGCTAGCTTTCTAGCTAGCTATCTAGCTTGCTAGCTAGCCGTATAGCTAGCTTGTTAGCTATCTAGCTAGCTAGCTAGCTAGCTAGCTAGAGAGTTAGAAAAGAGTATCTGTGGCTAGCCAGCTAGCTAGGGGTTTAGCTAGCTGTGAGTTGGTGGAGACAGTGCAATGCAGTGGGGTGTATGTACACCCCAACAACCAAAGGACCCTAAACCCTAAACCCTAAACCCTAAACCCTAAACACCGAAAACCATAGGGCCTCAGCTGCTTGCTGCTGCTGTTTAAGGACGGGGAGAGGAGGTCGTCTGCTGTCTCCTCTTCTGCTGTCTCTCTGTCTCCTGCTGTCTCTCTGTCTCCTTTTCTACTGTCTCTCTGTGTCTCCTGCTGTCTCTTTGTCTCCTCTTCTGCTGTCTCTCTGTCTCCTGCTGTCTCTCTGTCTCCTCTTCTGCTGTCTCTCTGTCTCCTGCTGTCTCTCTGTCTCCTGCTGTCTCTTTGTCTCCTCTTCTGCTGTCTCTCTGTGTCTCCTACTGTCTCTGTGTCTCCTCACGCATACACTACACTGTATACTACCGGGGCCACCGGGGAGACAAAAGGAGACAGCCAAGGAGCATGAGGAGACAGTTGGTGAGGATAAGGAGACAGTTTGTGGGGACAAGGATACACTGGTATTTGG